ACAGGCAAGGCAAGTTTATTCAGGGATGCCTCTACTAGCATCCTGACACATTTAACTTAGGAGAGCCCAGTTACAGTGTTTGCTAATTTCTGTGGTATTTATATTCCCAGGCAGGCAGATTTCAAGCCTTCAATACCAGCTCACTGAACGTGAAATTTGAGTGCACAGACAGTAGCCACTGTTACACAGGTTTTCCACTTTACAATGTAATAGACATTAAGTAAGCTCAAGAATATAGAGATAGGGCCTCCCTGCTGGTGCGGGGGTTACATTGTCAGTGCTGTCAAGCTATTGTCAGACACAGCAGCCTGAGTTCACCCCCCTCCCCTCAGCAGTGTTTTTCAGTAGTTTCGCCTATTCTGCTCCCTACTCTGTCTCTGGTGGATCTTCTCACCTGCTAACTTCTAGCCTATACCCCAGTTCTTGTATGTATAAATAAATAAAAATAAATCTTAAAAAAAAAGAGAATATTAAAACTCAGTAAAATGATTAGGGAGATTTTATTTTTGCTTTTACCAATTTTTTAATTGTAAGTTTTAACAATGCACTTGCAAACTTCATGAAAATGTAATGATCAACTATAAGATTCAGTGGTGCAAGGGGTTAAATCTCAGCACTATGAAGCTATCGCCATCCGCTGCAGCCTGAGTTCTATTCCCAGCCAGGCAGCTGACCACGTGGTGAAGCAGACCTTTTCTGTCTTGACTGCTACTCCCCTCAGCAGTGTATTGCAGTCAGTCCACCTGTTCTGCCCCCACTCTGTCTCTGGAGAATCCTCTCACCAATCCCCCATGACCCCCATAGTAACCCACCTCTACCCCACCCCCCCACATTTCTGGCCTATATCCCAGTTCCTGTGTGCATAAACACATCTTTTTTTAAAAAGTCAGTGCAAGGCTGCTGTAGCACAACACTGGAAAAATGGACTAAGTGCTGAAGAAGACTGATTGGAGAGCTGCTCAGACTGACAGTGGAAGGTCCTTTTGAGGAGGTGAACGTCCCCATGTTTGGCATGATATATCTTCTCAGAACTTGTATTGCTGGCTTTTTCTATTATTGAGGCCCCAGCCTCAACGGAACTAAAGTTCTGGGGAATCACAGCATACCACACATGGAGGATTGTCAGCACTCTGAGGAGAGAGTATGCTCACTGTCTAAAAAATAGAAGACCAGTGTGGGTGAGGCCTTGTGAGCAAGATTAAAATCAGAGGGAATAACTGCCTGACGATGTAGAGTTTAGAAGTTATTGTAAAGAGTCCGGGTTTTCATTCAGACTACAGCAGACATAGCTTGGCTATGGGGACCAGGGATTACCCATCTCCATTCCATGATCTCAATGAAAGATTTCAACCAGATCTATGGCAACCAAATCTACATATTTAGGCCAGACCTTCCTTTTCTGCTCTGGTAACCTATTTCCAACTCTGGATCTTTCTCTTAACATCTTGTGATGTATATGGCCCATAACATGATATTTCAAAGGTTAAAATCATTAATTTTGCCACTGACATCTCAAACCGACCTTATGTAAACTGAACCGCATGACTAAACCTGCTCCTCTTTCCACATTTCATATTTCTTTCCTCTTTCCATATTGTTCTCTTTTTCCTTGGCCATCGCACTCAACTATCCTAAATATCACAAAAATGTACCAGCTCTGCTCTTTCCATACCCACCACGTCTGCTTTCCTTCATCTCTCTGAGTTACTGTAAAGAGGCCCTAATTTATCTACATACTATGGCAGCAGATTTCCTCCCTAATCAGATTCTCCTTCTATAATATCTACTCAAGTAAAAGAGGTTATCCATACAAATAACTATGCTAGCAACCCAGTTGTCTTAGATTTTCAAAAATACAAATCTGATGATCCTTCAATGGTCACATATAAAACCCTTGTCCTTAAAAGTGTAGAAACATGACATTTAAAATCCTTTTGGAAATATCCTCTGCCCACTTCCTTAGTTTTGGTCCTCATATCCCCTTTATCGCACCTAACTATTTGGTTCCCCCAAACATGCCAGAGAGTAGTTTTCTATATCGTGCCTAGGACAAAAACTCAGCTAAGGTACCTTAGAAGTCTTTGCTGATTCCCCAAACAGGCCAGGTGCTCCTTCTCATTAACCACATCCTGCCGCCCCCAACACACACACTGTCCTTTATATTTATTTATTTTCATGACTCCTTTGAAAGTCAAGGGCTGGATTTTTAACACTGAGAACAATGACTAGGACCCTGTAAGCTTCCATTCCTGCAATGTTTGTTGCGATCAGCATTTATTTTAAATACTCGCAGATTAGACTGAGTACTGCACAATAATAGTATGACTGAGGAAATAAATAGGCACAGCCTAAAATAGTAAGAAAAAGCTTAGGCTATTTCATAAAGTAAAGAGACAAAATAATGGAGGTTGCTGTCCAGCTTCAGAAGTAGAAAAATGTTACCAACAATTGCCATTGCCTTTCATTTAAAAACACAGACAGAGCCCTCCCTGGTGGCGCAGGGCGTTAAAGTGCCTCACTAAGAATCAAAAGCTACTGCTGCATGAGTTCGATCCTCACCTGCCCCAGAGGTGACCAGCATGGTGTGCCAGACCTCTCCTGACCCACCCACTGCTCCCCTCTGCAGTATACTTCATCCATCTGCCTGTTCTGCTCCCCATTCTGTCTCTGGTGAACCTTGTCACCACCCCTGCACCTCTGGCCTGTACCCCAGTTCTGTATGCACAAATAAATAAATCTTAAAATAAACAGATAAATAAAACACAGACAAATCTTGTGATCAAAGTATCACTAGTGAATGGGGAAGTTAAAAAAAAGGAAAAAAGCATACCCCACTCAACTCTTTTCTTTGATACACATGTGCAAAATTGCAATCAATCCACATACCAGTTTAGGGCTTGGAAAAGCTCCCTAAAGTGAGTCAAATATATACTGTAACCTTCTTCCCTACTTGCCTGCCCTACAGCAGCAGGGTCAGAAAATGAGATTTTACTCCTATCGGAGAACTGTAAGGTAAAAAGGTCGATCAGGAGAGGTTAAAATGAGATGACATGGGGGCCCTCCCTAGTGGTGCAATGGGTTAAGGCATAGCACTATGAGACTATCCGCAGCCACTGCAGCATGAGTTCAATTCCTGGCCAGGGGAGTAACCCATATGGGGCCAGAGAACTCCCCTGACAGGCCCACTGCTCCCCTTAGCAAACTATTTCTGTCAATTTCCCTGTTCTGCTCCCCTCTGTCTCTGGTGAGTTTCTCACCCCCACAACTCTGGCCTGTACTCCAGTTCTTATATGCATAAATAAACAAATCTTTAAGAAGAAAATGAGGTGACATGGCTTAGAAAAGTGGACAGTAATAACAATGATAAGCCTGGAGCTCTCCATAGTAAGAGAGCAGAACTTTCCATCAGTTCTAAAGAATACTAAAGGTAACCATAGATACACACATGTATGTCTTTTCAGACTAGGGTTTTCCTTTCTCGTGCTTTTATTTTTCAAAGATTTACTTATTTATGCATATAGAACTGGAGTACAGGCCAGAGGTGCAGAAGCGGTGAGAGGATTCACCAGAAACAGAGTGGGGAGCACAACTGGCAGATTGGCGAAGAATACTGCTGAGGGGAGCAGCGGGCAAGACAGGAGTAGTCTGCTGTGCATGTGTGTCGCCTCATGGCTGGGGATCAAACCGTACTAAAGCAGCTGTGGCAAGCTTTGTAGTACTGTGCTTTTAATCCGTAGAGCCACCAGGGAGGGCCCTGGCTTTTAAAATGTGTTTTATCTGTTACCTCCTTCCCACAAAATTTAACATATTTAAACCGGATAGTGACACTAACAAAGTGTACAGAACTTGGTTAACATGTTTTTAAAAAATATTCTTTCATTTCCTCCTAAAGTAGATATAAATTTAGTGGCTAAAAAAAGCCCCAGTTACTCAGGAATTGTGCAATCCTGTTACAAATCTCCCTCAATTTCTTCATGAAAATTGTGAGTGATCAACATTCTGTTGGCAGAATAAGAATGGTTAAAATCCAGGCGCGCGAGAGAGATCAAAGGTGAAAAGGAAGTTGGAGAGAGGTTGGGCAGCATTGTCTCCAAAAATACTTAAGAGAAAAATATAATGAAATTCCAGAAATTTCCAATCTTCCTTGATTAAAAACCTAGTCTTGAAAACTCTACTTCCACATACAAGCCAAATACTTTTCTCCCAGGAATATCACTGCAGCACAAGGGCGGAGTGGGAAGTCACAGGCTATCTCAGGCAGGGTCAGACCTGCAGGTTTCTCAGGTTTGCCCAAAAGGACACACCCTCTTTTTAGATAGGGAGACACCACTTCTCATTCCTCAGTCCTCTGTCAGGGGCTTCCCCAAGGCCCAGTGTTGCCTGATGGAAAAAAGAAAAAGGGACAAATGCAAAGGTACCAGAGGAACCATCACGGGTAGAAACTTGTAAAAGCGTAGGCACAGATACCTAAATAGCGACACACCGTTGCCTTGGAAACAAGTCAACCACCTAGCCCCTCCTCCGCGGCCTCGGATCCCAGGCTTTTAAACTACGGGTCGTGGCCCGCAGGAAGCCCGGACTTGGAGAAAGGGGTCCTCTCTCGCGGCCCCGCCCCGGTCTCGTTCCCCGGGACGCCTACCGAGTATAGGAGCACGACAGCACCGGGACTCGTGGAGCCGATGGAGAAACAAGACTTAGATGAACTGCAAGAATCCATGATGCAGCAGCCGTCCCGGGCGGGGCCTGGGGATCCTGCGCTAAGCCGTGGTGGTGGTGCTGCTGGGGGCGGTTCTTTGGCGCGGGGCGGCCCGACCTCGCCTAGGGCGGCGGCACCCTCTGCGGCCGCACCAGAGGACCCCGGGCGCCGCCATCTTAATCGGGACGGAAGCCGCGCGGAGACTTGCGGCGCGCGCGCAGCCCGTCGGAACCCGGAAGCCTGGGCCCCGCGGGGTCGGGGTTCTGGCCGCGTGCGCGCGCGTTCTGCGCTGGCAGACCCCACCATGGCGCGGGAGCAGGCAGAGGGGGCCTCTGCGCCTCTCGGTTCTCAGACGCTTCTGGACAATCTGCTCCAGAACCTCTACGACTTTGGTGAGTGTGGTGCGTCGGTGCCCACGTGGAGAGCGGATTGGCGGAGCCGAGGATCTGCTGCCCCAGTTCGGCCTCCCCTTTCAGGCCAGAGGTTCTTGCTCGCTAGCACCCCTCAGTGTCTCGGACCTGGTTCTAATAATGGGCCAAGCACACAACTGCGTCTGATAACACACTTCTCCGCCCCCACGATCTGGACCCCTTGAGTTACCGTTCTGGAAACAAATCTCGCGACTCGTCTCTCGCGCGGGGACCAATCTGGTTGCTTGTCGTAAGCTCCAAGGCTTTCAGAGTTAACGGGGTTGGTGCACACGGGACTGTGGAAATAACCACCTTCCCCTCCACCCCCAACCCCCGGACCTTTCTCAAGGCCGCTCCCTCCAGCCCACTCCTGAGACCCTCCTGACCCTGGTGCGTGGCTGCCACCTTGTTCTTTTGGGGCGTCATCCTTTGGTGTCCCTCGCTAAAGACTTCAGAGGATGTTCTCATGTGAAGCTTTTCGCAATCCTTTCTTTCAAAAGTCGTCCGATTTAGGCTTTTCTTCCTTTATCTTCATTGGGAAAAGGGAAATAAAGAAGCTTATCATTAAAGATTCGCATTGGACTGGCACTATAGTGGACAGACCATTTTACACACTCTGCAGAACTTGCCCCAGGGAAAGCTATAGCACCTTGTTCTTGTATCAGAGGTAATCTCATGCCCTGAAGGATAAAACATTACCTTTGAAGCATGATGTTGCAAAGGTGTTTTATTTTGGAGCCATTGCTTAAAATTTTAGACTCACTTAAACAGTAAAAATAATATTTAGATTGTATAGGCTACCCCAGACTTAACCAGGTGTTTACTCATTTAATTTTCACAACAACCCACTATAATAAATACTATCATTAACCCCATTATTCCAAATGTAGAAGCAAGAACTAAAGGTCAAAAACTTGTTGAAATTCACCTACTTAGTAATATTCAGAGCCTGAGTTCTAATCTCCATATCATCAAGCTCCATTCCTTCACTCAGGTCGACCTGTACTATAGCCAGAGCGTCTCTGTACGCTTGGAAATACTGGAAAACAGAGAAAACTTAGTTTCTGGCCTTCAGAAGTTTAAATCTACGGGAGAAGACTTCAGAAAAATCCTAAATATAGTTTATGTCAACACAGGTTGGAAATTATGCAAGGAGCACAGAAGGCATGGGCTGGATTTATTCATTTTTAATATTCCCTAATGCCAAAGTTTAGGCAACTCAGTATGTATTTTTCTTAATATGTATTCACGGAATAAAAGAGCAAATAGAAGCTATTGTAAACATTCACTTGATACTCTAATATTTGTATAGTGGATGATTAGTGAGTCTTAGAATTCTTGTTAGAACCTTCAGATGACTGGTCAGTTTTAATAGGTGAAACAAGATAGGGAGATTTAGTAGAAAATAAAGACATTAAAATTAAATCAGTTGAAAAAAAAAATTAAATCAGTTGTCTTAGGCTCATCTTAATTCGTAACTGAAATAAAGTAGTAAGGCCATAATACCTACTTGCAATCAGAATGTGTTATAAAGAAGCACTGACTGTAGAGTTGGGGCATTTTTAGTGCAAAGCATAAATCAGCTGGGATTTCCTGACCCTGGAGCTCTTGCATAACACTTCTTGTTAGGACCTAAGAAAATATGTCTTTGATTTTTAGATTCATAAATTATGCAAATAATCTATTTGAAGAAAAACAACTAATCCTTTTCTTTGTGCCTGGGTGTTTTAGCACGTGTACAAGTGCAAGTACAAGTGATTGAATATTGGTGAAGGCTAAGCTATAAGATACTAATTTTTCTTTCTGGATTTAAACAAACAGGAGAAACAGAAGGTGAGACAGAACACAAAAGGATCAGAAAGAAAAGAGAAAATAAGAAGAGAGATGTAGAGGCCCCAGTGGCCCTGGTGGCAGCTCCCCCATCTGGATCTCTTGTCAGAGGCCCAAAGAAGCACCGCGCTTCCAGCTTCTTCAAGGAACTCAGAGAAGAGCTGCAGTGTGCCCCTACTGAGAACCCTGCTGACTTCCTGTCCGGATCTCAAGTCCCTACTGTTGAAGCTTCTTCCTCTTCCCTGAAGAATGACAGGAAGCACGTAGAAGTGGTAGAATTTCACAGCAGAAATAAAAGAAAAAAACAGAAGCTGGGTCAAGAAGAGAACACAAAGGTAATGAGTTAGTTTTTATGTATGTGGATGAATAGCTACAATTATGACAACAAAAGGATACAGTAAATAGACAAAGACTTTGTAGTATTGAGTCAGGGAGTATGAAGCCTCCATTTTTGTTCTTTTTTTCTGCGGATTGTTTTGCCTACTCAAGGTTCCTTTATGATCAAATTTCAGGATTTCTTGGTCTTTTTTCTACAAAGAATGCCATTGGGATCTCAGGGATTGTGCCAAGTCTCTGTACTGTTCTGATTACAGTGGCCATTTTGGCAATATTGATTCTTCCATTCATGAACACAGACTGTCTTCCATTTTTTTTTGAAGATTTATTTATTTATTCATACAGAACTGGGGTACAGGCAAGAAGTGCAGGGGCCGTGAGAGTCTTCACCAGAGACAGAGTGGGGAGCAGAACAGGCAGATCGATGAAGTACATTGTTAAAGGGAGCAGCATGCAGGTCAGGAGAGGTCTGCAGCGCCATCTGGTCACCTCCGGGGCAGGGGATCTAACGTGACTGAGAGGCGGCTGCCGCCAGCTTGCAATGCTGCATCCTAATTTGGTGCCGCCAGCTTGCAATGCTGCATCCTAATTCGTTGTACCACCAGGGAAGGCCCTGTCTTCCATTTTTTAAACTTTTTTCATCTGTGCTTCACAGTTTTCAGTACACTTGGTTAAATTTATACTTGGGTATTTTCTACTTTTTGCTGTGATCATGAATGATACTATATTTATCATTTCTCTTTCTTCTAGTTCAATGCTTATAGAAACATAACAGATTTTTGTATATTGATTTTATAAATTGATATTGTATTGATTTTATAGCTGTTCTATTTGTATAGGTTCTGTTGTTTTGTTTTCCAACTCACTTTTTGTGCTCCTGCTTTACTCAAACTACTGTTGAAGTCCTCTGTTGTATTTTTTAGTTCTGTTATTGTATTGTTGAGCTCTTTGTCTTCTGCTTGGCAGTTCCTTAATTTTTTTTTTCTGTTACACTACTGTTTCTGTTACACTACTTCAGTTGGGGCCTGTTTTCCCATTGTCCCCGGTTTTCTGTGCTTCTATAGTTTAGGTCACTGTCTTGTAACACTAAGGGTTTGGTTTCATGTGAGTGATGTTGATAGTATCCTAGAGCACTGTCTCCTTGATTCCCCAGGTTAGTCAAGGTTGTCTCCTGTGTGGCTGCCCACACCTGCCTACTCTATCTGCAAGGCACTTTGCCTGGGTCTGGCCTTGGCCCTGGACTAAGTCGTGCTCCGTGGGTGCTGGTGGACATGCTTCCTGTCATGTTGGCTTACACTGGGTCAGGAGTGTGCAGTGCCAGCTTCATGAGAAGAGTCAGCCACTGGAGGACCTGCTGGTCCTTCAGCAGGCCAGTTTTTGTGTGGTTGAGAGCACTCACCTGGGGCCTTGCTGCAGGCCTGCAGGCATAAGTGGACCTTTTGGGCACAGCAGGCCTGGTAGGTACTCAGACTGGGGTGGGTTGGAGGGGGTGAGGGGGGGCTGCCACTGAACTTTGTCCAGGCCTGGATATGGGGGGACTACCTCTACCTTTGCTGTGGTGCATGTGGGCTGGTGGTCCATTGCTGACCTGGCTCAGACACAAATGGACTGGTGGGACCTGGTGCCACATGCCACATTGAAGCTAACAATTGTCAATGTTACCACACTGCATTGAACATACTGTGCAAATGTGTGTGTCATGATGTTGGAACGCACTGCTTTGCACTATAATTCTGTTTCATGATTTGTTCACATAAAGTTTCTAGGTACCTCCTTGCTTTCCTCAAATGGTTCTAACATCAGTTTCCTCTTTCTGGAATGGAGCATTTTCTTTTTAATAGAAATGACAAAAAAGTTGGCATCAAATGAGTCTGAATTTCCCTGTCTCTCAGTAATGGAATACACATAGCAGGCAGTTGAATTGTGGGTTTTTTATCCTGCTCCAAATTTTCCATGTAGTTGGCTCTTCTCAATAAGTTCATTGTACATATTGGACTTCTTGGCTGTAGTGCATTTTTTTCAGTTGTCTTGGTGTTCTACCCTCTCTTCCCTTTAAAAATTTATCCTTTGAAAGCGTAAATGTATGTAGCTAAGGACAGGCTATGGACATAATTAAAAACACATATGACCATGAGAAGATTTTAGAATGTGTAAATAAATCCAAATGCATATCACACTAGTTATTTTGTCATGTCTTATAGGGAACATAGGTAAAGATGAGTTAGTTGGGGGCCTTCCCTGGTGGCACAATGGGTAAAAGAACAGCACTATGAAGCTCTCCACAACCACTTCAGCACAAGTTCCATCCCCAGTCAGGGAGGTGACCACATGGTACAGCAGACTTCTCCTGGCCCAACTGCCACTCCCCTCAGC